CTGTTCAGAGTTACTATCTGCTTATAGGTAATTACTGATCATAGTTAATTAGTGGTCATAGATACTTACTGTTCAGAGTTACTTACTGCTCAAACTTAATTTCTAATTATAGGTTCTTGCTAATCATAGTTCAATAAATCGTTCGGTTGTTCCTATGGCAGCTATATATACATATGTATATACATATATATAGTCCATCAATTAGGCATGCTCCGATTCATAAGTATATAGAAAAATAACAACATAGTTTCATTCAAATAGCTTAATCTTAAATTTGTTCCAAAACAAATATTGCACATCTGTGCATATGATTCCCAACTGGTTTAAACATCTCCGGAACGAAGTGACTGCTGCCGGCCTAGTCTCAGAAATGTATTGTGTTACAAAAGTTGCAAGTCATTGTTTATTAGTGTTCAAAGTAATCACCTGATCATACATACTTACTATGACCAGATACTTACGGATCATAGTTACTCACTGATCATAGATACTTACTGTTCAGAGTAACTTAATGTGCATAGAAACTACTGATCATAGTTAATTACTGGTCATAGTTAATTACTGAGCATAGTTCTACAAATCATCCGATTGTTCCTATGGCAGCTATATATGTATATGTATGTATATATGGAGTCCACGGATTCGCTATGCTCCGACTTATATACTAGTAAAATTATATAGACGAATAACTCCATAGTTTCATTCAAATAGCTTGCTTAACTCTCGCACATCTATGCATATGATTCCCAAGTAGTTCTAACATCCCGGAACGAAGTGAGTTCTGCCGGCCTAGTCTCAGACGTGTGTTGTGTTACAAAAGTTGCAAGTCATTGTTTATTAGTGTTCAAAGTTAGTAACTGATCATAAATACCTACATAGGTACTGCCTAAGAAAGAAGATAATTTATACAAACACATTTAAACAAAACTCTTTTTATCTCAATTAAAATTTTTATTTAAGGTGTAAAGGTACAATTCATTTATTTCAAAACATTACCGTCTTATCCACCATTTTCCTAAGTGCAGCAAATAACCTGGGAGTACCATTTTTGTGCTGATTATGAGTTTTGAGCTGGGACTAAGAGGCTCATTAGGGGGTCGGATTGGCGGGGGATGGAAGTCGAGTGGTGATACTTTAATTTTTTTCTAGTTGCGGTAATCTGCCAGTGCATTTAGCTCTCAGCAGTGGCCATCATCCGAGACTGCCTCCTCGCTGTCCCCAGATCCTTGGATCCTTGGCCGTTTAATGCAGTCCAGAGAGCACTCGAGTAGTGGAGGAAAATGCTCGAGGGGTACGAGTGGGAAAAGTTGCAGTTGACACCATCTTAGGAAATTAGTTTCTTTTTCTACCATTTTTGACTTGACATCGTTTTGGCCGCTGCGCTGGCACTTGAGGGTCGCTTCCTTCTTGTCCTTCCTCGTCCTGGTCCTCGTCCTCGTCCTTTGTGTCCGTTTCACACGGCCCGCTGTGTAATGTGAATATTCGTGCGGACAGCGTCAACAAAGGGCGATGTCGCAACATAAATCCTGGCGCATTCCTGCCTGTTTTATATATATGTATGTGTGTGTGTGTGCTAAGCGTTTTTGTTTAACTTTTCACTTGACCCCCGAAATGGCCAACTTCAGCTGTCTTGCCTTGAATTTATGCCTCTGCTGTTTTTTCTTGGCCATCTGCTAGGAATTTCGAGAAATGTTTCAGGTGAATATGCTTACTTGTTGTCTCGGAATTTTCCTTTTATTCCAAGAAAGGTTAATCATTTTTAACGAATTTATTAGAGAATTTCATTTATGGAAATTGCTAATGAATTTTTATTATAATTTTGATGCTTCCACAAAAACTTAACAGAAATGATAAAATTCTTAAATAAAGAAGAGGGAAATTATTTTTCTTAAACACAAACTCGGATGATTTCATTTGGGAATATCTTTTCACAAATGTAGTGCAAATCCACACCACAAACATCCAGATATATACGTTATATTGATCATGAATCTTTTTTATTGCAAATTAAGGATTAGCCAGTGGAAAAGTGCCATCTCCTTGGAATTTGCGTTTTATGTTTATGGGGTCAGAGCCAGAGCCGGCTGATGGCCAATAAGTATTGAAAACCGAGAACGGGTTTGACCTTTTGCTGTGCTGCCATAATTCTTGGCCCCCAATCCCCGCTCTTTGTTTAGACGGGCGTGGTCGGTCCTTCGGTTGGGCTTTGGAAAAATATATATATACAATCTGACGCATATATGTATGTTATAGTACATGGGCCATCAGCCTGAGAGTCGGCAAACAAATCTGTTTAATTAAGGCGAAAGTCCACTCTGGCCAAGACAAACTCGTGCCATGCCCTGCCCGATCCTTCTGCCGCATATCCTTCCACATCCTTGCCTCTCCTTATCTCGCTCTTTGGCTCCGTGTGAGTGATGAGGTGTTGGTTAGCCTTTGGGCCAGGCAAATTGCTTGGTCAGTTCTTTGAGGCCGGCAAACACACTCACTTCCACACACACACTCTCTCATACACATATCCTGGAGCCCACAGAAGAGTTCATTTCAGTCAAGGATGTGCCAGGGTGCGGGTGTCGGTGTGGGAAACGGGATAAGGGATAAGGGATATAGCAGAGGAGATGGCTAGGTGCCAGAGCGATAATTTGTTGCCAGCCAGTCGCAACCTCTCGTAACTTAGGTGCTGCCAAAAAAACAGAAGCTCAATTTATAAATGAAATCGTTTCGTTGCCTCTCTTCCTTAAAAACACACAAGAAAAAGTGCATCAAAAATGAATTAAATAGGTCTTGTCTAGGCTAAGGAAAAAACCATGGCTCATACTGTGGAAATGGAAAGGTTTCTTAGCTTTAAAGAGATTTCAAGTGAAGTATTTGCTTTGAATATTATGTTTCTTTGAAAATGGGTAAAATATAGACATGATTATGAACAAATTATGTCCTACAAAATTACCTGTGTTATTTATTATAAAGTTATAGTTCGTAAAATAAAATTGTGACAATCATAGTCTGTCTTAAATTGTAATTCTAACTTTTATGTGAAAATAAAATAATAAAATACTTACCCCTCCTAGTAACATAATTTATTCCCAGTGCACTTACCATTGTCCTTACTCGCAGCTCCCCATGGCTTCGGTTCCGCCTCTTTCAAGCGAGATTTGAATTTCTTTTTGTGTTACTTATCGCCTTGATAGATACACTTGGGTCCATTTGATTGCTTTGATGTATGGCCCAAAGAAATGGTAACCACCGAGATACAGAGAGGGACAGAACTGAATAGAAATCGACGAAAGTGCGGAAAAGGTCGTCGGGGCGTCTTTGATTTGTTGCGGGCTCAATGCACTTGAATTTGTTTGCCTTTGAAGTTGCCACATTAGTTTCTGGCTGATTTGAAAGCCATACCAAATATCCTAATTTTTTTATAGTCAGATTCCCTCTTTTTTGTTTTGGTTTGAAATGAACTCTCTTGCAGTTAAATTTCCCTGTCGCTGCGCAACAGTTTCGCAGGCCGCAGGAAATGCATTGGCTAATCTATTTAAGCCATCGAGCAGCGTGACGCTGCCCCTCTTCACCTTCCCCGCACCAGCTGCGGGGCATTGGATGCCATCCTTAGTTGCTGGCCAACAAAATTGTGGCATTTTAGCCATCTCCCCCAGCGACATCTGCTGCATGCGACAGCACAGGACCTTCTGCGGCAGTGCTGACAGACAGCGGCTTCTCCAAGCAGGATATCGGGCAAATGGTGGAGTTGCGAAAATATCAACCATAATAAAACAATAGTAATTTTATGAAAATAATATTTTTTATTTGGTTGCTTAAATGTATAAAATATACAGCTAATGCTAGAATTGGTTTGATACTTAGACAATTAATAGATTATATAAATCACTAAAAATAATATTATTCTGGGTAATTAGAAGCTACATTTTTAAGACTTACCCTCCTGAATAATTAATAACTAAAGTAATTACAGTTAATAATAATAAAATAATATATATATCTAGGACATTCTCCGTTGATATTTATGTATTTAATTTTTTGTGGCGAAATCCAAATTTGAAAACTTAATAACTAGGCCAAAAATTCAAATAATTCGATTCAGAAACCGTCCCTCTGCTAGTTTTTATTAGTGTAATAAATCTGCATTCTCAATAAAAAAAAATTACATTTCTTTAAAATTTTTGACGATTTTGACGATTTAACCCCTTATCATTTTTTGAAAAAATTGGAAAAATGTCGAATCTTTATTCTGATCAATAATATATATGATTTATAATTTCGGAAATGATTCCTTTACTAAGTTTTAAGCTTCCGACTAAAATTAAAATACCCTAAAGAAGGATAAATCGCCAGCACTACTGCATTTGAGTAAAGTGGGGGGAATGGGCGGAGTTATCCTGCCAAATCGCTGCCACAACAAATTCCAAGCGTCTGGCCAAATGAAATAGGATTCCGCAGTGTACCACAGTGGCAGCAGCTCCATCGTACAAAATACAAAAAAAAAGAAAAAATAAAATTGGTTGCTGGGAGAAAACGTCATAAAAATTGTCTATTTCTCACATAGATTTTTATACAGAGACAGACAGCCAGGGCAAATATATAGTATAGTCCAATATGTATTTGTACTTTAGAATCGTCATGGTGGCTCTCTCCAGGATTGCCAAGAAGATGCTGCATCACTAAGGGTGTTGTGTGGCATCTTGACGAAGTCCAAGAGGTGCTGTGATGCAAGATGTCACTTGTTTAGGATGAGCCTGTTGCCTGGCAACGGATGTCCTGCTATCATGTCCTGTTCCTTTTCCCTTGACAGTCTAATAAAAATGCATTTCCATAATTAAAAAATTAACGCAGTGTAATTTAAGTTTTAATTCGAATTTTATTGAGTCTAATGAAGGACTTTAAATATATAACAAAATATTAAATTTCAAGTATATAATTATATAATATATCATTTTTAACTAATTAGCTTTGTTTTAAATTGTTTTTATAATTGTAAATCACTTCCACTTCTCACTAAATCCTTGTTTAAATATTTTTGCAGTAGGTTTAAGCTGTTCCTGTGAAAAAAAATCTTGAAATTCAGCAGAATTTCATATAGTTTGTGTTTGAGCTTTATTTTATCGTTTGGCAATTCCTGACCCCGTACAGAATTTCAATAATATGATCTCATGGATACCTGGATTCCGCCTCGATTTTGTTTGTGAGCCTGAAAATCAATTCCTGTTTATTTGGCTTTCTTTTCCACTCGCTTGACCTGCTGTGAAAGTATAGAATTGTTTTGGTGAATTTATTGGAATAAATTTATTAGTTTTGGGGGTCTTACCAGCAGACACTTGTTGACCATGGCCTGTGGACGTGGTCGCTCGCGTCGCAATTTGATGTATTTCTCAACGCTGACATAGTAGACGCCATCGGGTTTTTGTATGAGAATAATTCGATCGCCCTTGTCGGCTTTCTCAGTGGTTTTATCCTCCTTGTAGCGCTGCTCCGACAAGTAGATTTGTTCCCCGGTGACGGAAAGCTCCTCTTTAACATTGAAGTTGACGAAATAGTTGCCACAGTCCTTCATCAAACTCTTGAATTTTCAGTGGGCGCATTATCGAACTGCATTTGCAGGAAACTATAATTCTGGAGATCGGTGTCAGGAAAAATGGGTAAAATGGACACCGGCCTGGCGTTGCTCCTTGGCTTGATGGGATGCCGGCCGAGAGGCTTCTTGGCCTCCTCGAAGGTCTGAGTAATCAACTCCTTCTGCTGCTCCAGGCTAACGGCCTGCAATTGTACTGGGGTCTCAGCAGCAGCCGGAGTACGAAAGGCTCCAATGCGAGGACGCGGCACATTTACCCGCTCCTTGGCAAACATTTGGGCGCACTCTTGGACGCGACTTGGCCGCTGCCTGGCATCGCCATAATGCAGAGCTTCTATATCCCCCAGCAAGGCTGCATCACGGGGATCTATTTTCTGCGCCTCCTTGCGGGTATTGTGGCGCTGCTTATCGTAAGCCGATTGATTCACCAAATCAATATCGAAGAGCAGATGCAGCCCCTTAAACTGATGATCGTACTGCGACTCCTGCATCGGGAAGGAGACAGGCTCCAGCGTGTAATCCAGAATATCCTTGCCGCAGGGCAGGAATTTGCAATCCAGCCCCAGCTCGGGCATCTCATTTTTGTAGACAATGGGACAGATGAACTGATTGCTGCGGGTTTTGCGGAAGGATGAGGATTTTGATGGGCGACTTCGTGATGAGTGTTTCCTACTTACTGCTTGTCATCCAGCTTTTTCGGTTTGTCCAACTCATTTGCTGCCATTATGGAAGAGCTGCTCTTGTCCTGTTTCGTCTATATATATTTTTTTCTTTCAGTTTTTCGCTCACTCGTTCCGATTGCTCGCAAAGTTTGTGATTTGTGATTTGTGCTTCGTCAGGCTTTCTGACAGGAGCTGCCATCGCTGTCAGTTCCGTCATTGAAACTAGATGGCACTCTAGTGTTGCAGAAGTCGAATCAACACTGTTGGCAACACTGCGGATTAAGAGGTGTAATTAGGGCAATTACTATTAAAAATTAAATAACGTTAGTTACAAGATCTCCCATCTAATCCTAAAATCAATTAGTAGAACAATTCAATTGTATTGCTTCCTAGTAGTGAGGATACTTTTATATTTTGACTTTCCAAAAGTATTGCAAAATAGTGTTACCTATTTTCTTTATTAAGTAGTCGAGGGTCTGTCTAAGTATCGCTATTACCATCTCTAGCTCTTAAATAACCCAGTTCTGATTAAGTGTTGGTTAACAAAGCAGCCCGATAGCCACTTCGATGTCCCCGACACGTGTCCCTAATCAGTTTTAGTTCCAAGGTCTCCTCACCTCAGCTTGACTCGCCCATAATCAGTCGACTTTAAAATCCCTTCCGTGTCACCCTCCCTTCCGCCCCTTGGACATCCGCAAGATGCGGGCCAGGCACTCGGCCATAATGGACTCTGACTTGGCCACCTTAGGTTTTGGTCAGAGCTAAGCTCATTATGTGCCACGCCTCCACCTCCGGATCCGCCTCTAAACCATCCCCTCCATCACCACTTTCACATCGCCACCGCATATACAATTGCAAACTGTTGTTGTGGGGGCTGAGAATGGAAAATGTGCACTGAAAACAACGTTAAGAATTTTGAGAATATAAATAAATATATTTTAAGTTTATAAGAAGGTTGAAATAGTTTTGAAACATTAATTAAATAGTTAATAGGTGGTGGTTTCTTTAAATGTATTGTAAAAAGCAGTGCCAATAATGGTAGTACATTGATATAAGAAAGTATACTACATATTTTTATTATTTTCATTTAAATGCATCAAATATCTCCTCTAACTGTTCGCTCTGTGTAAGTAGGGGTCGCAGGATGATGGTGATGAGCTGTCCGATAAGAACAGTTGGGGAGCTGAGTTCAGGGAGGGTGGCTACTGGCCGGCGGTTGTTGGCGGTCGTCCTAGGCCGTGGCTCGTGCTAAAATTAATTCATGCGACAATGGCTGAGCAGCGACTAACTTAGGCCTCCAACTCAATTGCGGCGGCCACATCATGAGCTCATCATCATCATTTCGAAGGGGTGGCTGGCAGCTCCTGAACTGGATGGAGGAGATGTGGATGCCATGTGGATGCCCTACCGTCAGACCAAGCCCCATTTCGGAGAGGGGCTGTGCAATTTGGCGTGCGGAATTTCATTAGGGCCGCCGCAGTTGCCGGAGCGGCGGAATCAAAATTTAATTTATGCTGACATTGAAGTGTCTGTGGGGCAATTAAATCGACAGCGGGGCGTGGCGGGCCTCCTTCGCAGCCTTTGTGTTGATTAAGTACCGCCGAGCAATATTTTAGCATAATGATGTCCTGGCACGCAGTTTGGCTCCATTCCGCGGAACACCGTTCAATGTTCTCCACTTTTGGGATGTAGCAAAGACGCAATCCTTCACTTGGGCAAAAGGATTCGGACCGGAGAGCTCCTTTGATGGCTGATGGTTTGATGGCTGCGCCTGATTAGCCCTGCGATTAGCCTTTGTGTCCCACAGAATTTACGACAGCTAAGCACATTTTTATTTGAGCCTTCTTCGAGTCGGCTAATTTGTTGATGGCCTCCTTGATGAACCGTCGAGCACTTTGCATTGCACATAATAATCCGGTTAGCAAAGGGTTTGCGCTTAAATGGGCGGAAATATGTTAGGGATACGAACCCAAAGAAGAGTGCAATCTATGAATAGACAAATTAAAAGGATTCCCTTCTTAACTGCCATTTATCCCGTGCATTTGGAAAACATATTTCACTTCCCAACAAAGTACTTACCAAAACGCGTCCAATTTTTTTTCTTTCTTTTTTTGACAAACTTTCGCTGGCACAAGATACTTTTTGTTAGCTTTAAGTTGTATTTGGGGAGCCAAGTGGCAAAAGATGATTTCCTGCAGCTCGAGATACTTTTGGGTTACTGTTCACTGGCTTAAACTACTTTTGGTTTGCTTAAGAGACTCTCTGGTGTTGGTTTTTCTTTCAGCATTTAGTTGTCACACGCTTTAATTCTTTAGTTAAAGATACTTACTTCATTCTGATAAGTTTAGAGATACTTTTCAGCTCTTAAAGATAGTTTTTATTAACAAATTAGCATATAAAATATAGATAAATATGGACTCAACGAATGGTATTTAAATTTTTAGTCAGCAGCTTAGAACTAAGTGAAGCAGTCATATCTATTTCAAATTCAGTAAGCAGATTTATAAACTTAATAGTATTTAGCCTAGGAAAGGTTCTCGAATTAGTATAAATACGTTTTTGGCTTAGTTTTGAGATTTTAAAACTATGATTTTCGGACAAAATTTCTTTTTTATACCTTTTTGCAGGTTTTTATGATTTTAGTCAAAAACTGACCAGAGCATCAACAAATGCAGTATGCAGATTTGTTAGTGCAATGAAAACTAGCACAGAAAGCTTTCCGAAATAAAATAAAAATAAATTTTTAGAATTTTTTCAAAATTGAAAATTTTATAAAATACATCATTAAAATTGCCAAAATTTGACAACAATTGAATTTTTGAATTTGAAAACTGAGTATGCAGATTTGTTAATCTATTAAAATTCAGCATAAAACAGCTATCCGAATTAAATTAATCATTTTTTGGCTTAGTTATGAGATTTTAAAACTATGATTTTCGGACAAATTGTCTGTTTTTATCCTTTTGCAGGTTTTTATGATTTTAGTCAAAAACTGACCAGGGCATCACAAACGCAGTATCAGATTTGATAGTGCAATGAAAACTAGCACAGAAAAGCTTTCCGAATTAAAATTAATGCAGTTTTGGCTTAATTATGATATCCGAAAAACTTTGATTTAAAAAAAATGCTCTGTTTTTATACCTTTTTGAAGAATTGATTTAAGTCAGAAGCTTGAAATGTAATGAAGGAGTCATTTCCGACCCTATAAACCATATATATTCTGATCAGCATCAACAGCCCAGTCGTTCTAGCCATGTCCGGTCGAAAAATAAATTTTTACAATTTTTTCAAAAATTTAAAATTTATAAGGGTTGTTACATCATTAAAATTGCCAAAATTTGACAACAAATTGAATTTTTTGAATTTGAAAACTGAGTATGCAGATTTGTTAATCTATTAAAAATCAGCATAAAACAGCTATCCGAATTAAAATTAATCATTTTTGGCTTAGTTATGAGATTTTAAAACTATGATTTTCGGACAAAATTGTCTGTTTTTATGCCTTTTTGCAGGTTTTTACGATTTAGTCAAAAACTGAGCAGGGCATCAACAAACGCAGTATGCAGATTTGATAGTGCAATGAAAACTAGCACAGAAAGCTTTCCGAATTAAAATTAATGCAGTTTTGGCTTAATTATGATATCCGAAAAACTTTGATTTAAAAAAAATGCTCTGTTTTATACCTTTTGAAGAATTTGATTTAAGTCAGAAGCTTGAAATGTAATGAAGGAGTCATTTCCGACCCTATAAACCATATATATTCTTGATCAGCATCAACAGCCCAGTCGTTCTAGCCATGTCCGGTCGAAAAATAAATTTTAGAATTTTTCAAAAATTCAAAATTTATAAGGGGTTACATCATTAAAATTGACAAAATTTGACAACAAATTGAATTTTTTGAATTTGAAAACTGAGTATGCAGATTTGTTAATCTATTAAAATCAGCATAAACAGCTATCCGAATTAAAATTAATCATTTTTGGCTTAGTTATGAGATTTTAAAACTATGATTTTCGGACAAAATTGTCTGTTTTTATGCCTTTTGCAGGTTTTTACGACTTTAGTCAAAAACTGAGCAGGGCATCAACAAACGCAGTATGCAGATTGATAGTGCAATGAAAACTAGCACAGAAAAGCTTTCCGAATTAAAATTAATGCAGTTTTGGCTTAATTATGATATCCGAAAAACTTTGATTTAAAAAAAATGCTCTGTTTTTATACCTTTTTGAAGAATTTGATTTAAGTCAGAAGCTTGAAATGTAATGAAGGAGTCATTTCCGACCCTATAAACCATATATATTCTTGATCAGCATCAACAGCCCAGTCGTTCTAGCCATGTCCGGTCGAAAATAAATTTTTAGAATTTTTTCAAAAATTCAAAATTTTATAAGGGGTTACATCATTAAAATTGACAAAATTTGACAACAAATTGAATTTTTTGAATTTGAAAACTGAGTATGCAGATTTGTTAATCTATTAAAAATCAGCATAAAACAGCTATCCGAATTAAAATTAATCATTTTTTGGCTTAGTTATGAGATTTTAAAACTATGATTTTCGGACAAAATTGTCTGTTTTTATGCCTTTTTGCAGGTTTTTACGACTTTAGTCAAAAACTGAGCAGGGCATCAACAAACGCAGTATGCAGATTTGATAGTGCAATGAAAACTAGCACAGAAAAGCTTTCCGAATTAAAATTAATGCAGTTTTGGCTTAATTATGATATCCGAAAAACTTTGATTTAAAAAAAATGCTCTGTTTTTATACCTTTTTGAAGAATTTGATTTAAGTCAGAAGCTTGAAATGTAATGAAGGAGTCATTTCCGACCCTATAACCATATATATTCTTGATCAGCATCAACAGCCCAGTCGTTCTAGCCATGTCCGGTCAAAAAATAAATTTTTACAATTTTTTCAAAAATTGAAAATTTTATAAGGGTTACATCATTAAAATTGCCAAAATTTGACAACAAATTGAATTTTTTGAATTTGAAAACTGAGTATGCAGATTTGTTAATCTATTAAAAATTAGCATAAAACAGCTATCCGAATTAAAATTAATCATTTTTGGCTTAGTTATGAGATTTTAAAACTATGATTTTCGGACAAAATTGTCTGTTTTTATGCCTTTTTGCAGGTTTTTACGATTTTAGTCAAAAACTG